CTATTGAGGTAATCTATTGAGGTAATCTTACTAGGAACTAGAAATGAATATCGTTATCTAAAGACTTTATACTGTATATCACAGCTGCTTATTATGAAACTGAGTGAACATTATGTTTAGAGCTATGGTTTTCATTCAGCCTCCATGAGTTATAGTACCTTCTCCTCTTCCATATAGGGATTATCAACATTTGTTTCCAATTTTAAGGAAACACACACACACACACACACACACACACACACACACACACACCAGAGGTGGGTTGCTGCTGCTTCGGCCCTGATTGGGGCCGGTAGAACCAGTAGTAGCGGCGGCAGGAGGCTCCACCCACCCGCCCAGATGCTTCTGCGCAGAAGCGGCGTGTGCGCGCATAGGAGCGCGCCCAAACTGATAGTAAAAAAATTATCAACCCACCTCTGATCCATACATATATGTACATACATACATACATACATACATACATACATTAATCACTGTCCATTTTGAATACATAGAGGAAATAGGAAGCTTGAGAATTCACAAGGTTGATGCTATATGGAATAAAACTGTGACTTAATCTAGATGTTCTGCTTCAGGTACCACAAAGCCTCCTCCCAGAAGGTAACAAGGAAAATAGGTCATGAAGAGGATGTGTAGCATAGATATAGTGTAGATATCTATATCTATAGTGTAGATACCTATAGGATATACCAGAATAGTTAGTCTACTTTCATTTATTCATGGAAATAATGTGAATGCCAGAGCTCAACTAACGTCTCTTATTTCTTTCCACATCTGGCTTCAGTTGATGCGATGGATAATAAGTGAAATATATGCAGTTTGGAAGTTGCACAATACAACTGCTTTAAGTGTTGAAGCTAAAGCTAATGCTAATGAAGTACCTCCAGTACTGTGGAAGCCATGGGAACACATCTATTCATTATGCAAAGCAATCAAAGGTCATATGCCATTGTATAATAGCTATGGAAAATATGTGGTAAAGCTCTTCTGGATGGTAAGTGATCATCTATCTGTATCTTATATATTATAATAAACTTTTTCTACAGTTGTTTAAATGAATTTTGTTGCTTATTTAACTATCCATAGAAAAGGAACAATCGGGAATAGTGACTGCTATTAAGAAATCATGCTACTGTTTAACTATTATTGTATAACTCACAGAGTATCTTTTATTGCATAAGAGCTGAAATTAGTGCACAAAGTTTTTATGTTATTACGCATTCATATAATCTAGGATGAATGAAAATATCAAAGTCTAGATATACTGTATATTTTGTATGATTGTTTGACTTTGATCACTTTACAGTAAACCTTAAATACATGCATTTAAAAGTGCACCTCAGATGCATGACATAGCTGTCTTGTGGGTTTGAAAAGGCAGGAAGTATTCTTCCCTTCTGAATGTTTTGCACACCCCTACTACACAGTTTTTGCTAGAATGCATCAGAGCCTTACATATTTACATATTTCAGGAGATCATGAGTAGTCCAGTAATCTGTTGTAGCACATTCAATAGGAAAAAAGTATCACAGATATATTCAGTATAAAATCATAGAGTCTCTTGAAATAGCCTTCCACCTACAGACTCCTTATTTCGATCCCTCTTAAATGTTTTAACAATTATTTTCTCTTATACTATTTTATTGTACTACATTTGGCTTAGGGAAATATAGGCTCTCTGTAACATACCATTTCTCAATCTTTTTTTGTCCTGGGGAAACCATTGAAATAATTTTCAATCTTAGGGAACAAATAAACAATTATTATATCTTTCACAAAAATATGAAAAACTCACAATATAATTCAATTCTCACACAATTCATGTTTTATAATATATAGAACAATAGCAAAAGAACAGGCCACCTGAGTCCTGGTGCTTAAAAGTTTCCACCACTATAAGCACTAACTAGTGGTGGGTTCTGGATCCCATTGCAACCGGTATGGTGGAACGGGGCCGGGCATCCACCACATGCACACGTGCAGCACGCGCACAGCACACGTATGTGTACTTACCACCCGCGACACTCCAGCTGCTTGGCGGAGCATTGTGCAGGCACATATGCTCTGTGCATGTGCGCGTAAGCCCCGATCGGCTCAAATACAAGTAAGGAGGGCGGAACGGTACCTGGTGCTCCTAGTAGGCACTGGAACGCCAGTACCAGGGCATACCAGTCGTATCCCACCACTGGCACTAACAATGTTCAAAAAATGCTGGTTATCTTTTCTTTAAACATGATCTCTTCTCTGGAACCTTGGTTGAGAAGAACTTGTTTAACATGTAACAATGCCTGAATATATTGAATACAGATTCAGATTATTTCTTGCCATGGAGACTTATTTGTGGAAATAATGTTGTAAAAAAAGTACCTTATTGGCTAGAAATATAGGCAAAGTAGAAAGTGCAATTGTCACAATATCAGTAAGGTTGTTAAAAAAAGCCATCACTGAGTTTGTTAAATAATGTTCACAAGTTGCATTTGAGCACACTTGGTAATTTTCCATATACTTCCTTTAGCACACATACAAGTACTCAAACAGTCATATGCTTTAGTCATTCATCACTGCCTTTCCTGTGTTCAGTTAAGTTAATCTATACTGATAAATCCATGCTGTCATTATATTTCGGTTGTCATAAAAAATGATGGCAACCTATTTGTTTGTTATGGCTTCTAACAAGAGAACGTGCTGTCTAGTAATATCTGAAAGAATAAAAACGTATTTTTGCCATGGTAAAAGACACAAGAATGTGGCCAGTCGAGGATAGCTCATCAGTACCCTCCTATAGATGATTTTTTTTAAAAATTACTAGCTGTATTATACATGTGTTTTATACATGGATTTCACTGAATTTTCATATTGTTCTTTCTGTTTAGTGAAATTATAATGAGTGTCAACCTTTGAGAAGGTTGAGAAGATTTTTATAATGAGTCAATTTCTCATTACTACCCCATAATATTTGATTTCCTTTTTTTAGGGATGTTGGAGAAAGATAATTGTGGATGACAGCATACCTTTCAGTGAAGACAATGTCATGCTGCTTCCCACCACAACATGTGAAATTGAACTTTGGCCACTGATATTATCCAAAGCCATCATTAAATTAGCAAACAATGAGTATGTTTTCCTGTTTTGAAATTAAAAAAAGAAGCAAAGCCAGAACCTAATACAGAGAGGATGCTTATTTTTTCTGAATTAATCAACTAATTATCTTCCTGAACCTTTTGTTAACCCTTGGAATCTTCTCAGCTTCAATGGAAGGCAGTATAAATATAGTATTTATATATATATAGTATATATAGTATTATTGTACAAAAACATTAAAGTCTTAGATGAACTCTTCAAATTCTCTATTATATTCAAACATATTTGGAGCACCCCTCAAATACTAGTACGGTCATATTTCGGCACTCAACTGCTTCAAAACTCATTGAATTTGGTATTCAACATATTTTGAAGCAGGAATCTTGTCCCAGTGCTCATCTTTCTCCCAGTAGTTGACTTGCAAGGGAGAACCTGCTGCCTTGTGACTCATTATTTCTTCTGGCCAAAATAGCAGGTTGCGTGGTATTCTTAGTACCCATTGGTTTTAGTATTTGGCACATCTTCCAGAACAAATTACCGATGAGGACCGAGGTACTACTGTACTAAATTTTTTGCAATGCATAGGATAATAAAGAAGTAGAAAACTTCATTCTGTTTGTGTAGATGCAGTTGCATTTTAAATTTTAACCTTCTGTTTGGAAAGAATGGCTTCTAGGGGCATTGTTTATTAAACAAAAGGGTACTGAAGCAATGCTAGTGCAAGTTAAAGTTATATCTGAATAACTCAAATTATGCTAGGTACAATATATAGTTATATAGCAACCATGTAAAACAGTAGGACACATACAAATGTAAAAGGCTCCAATGAAAAATAGCTGCTACAGTGGCAATATTTAGATTCCACATTCTCAGGGTGGTGGCATGTATGCTTACTTTGCAAAAAACTATTTTACACACTACCATATTTATTTACATGCATTTTTAAGCACAGCATATATTTGTTGTTTTGCTAAAAATTATAATTAGGTCATCTAGATATTATTACCTCATCCATGTGCTATTTAATCTTAAATTTTAAGATTAAAGGTCCTGCTTCTTTTTTCTGTTCTGATTTATTTAGACCTATGAGAATCTGAGTTGTTCAGCAATGTAGATGTGAGATTGGATTGGATTGGATTTATTCGACTTGTATGCCACCCTATTCCCAAAGGGACTCAGGGCAGCTGAACAAGAGCCAAGGGGAGGGGAACAAATACAAAAAAGTAAGACAAAAAATAAGACAACAAAACAGACAATTTAAAAAACTCAACAAGCACATCCAATTCGAGTAGGTCTAGAACTCAACAACCCCAGGCCTGCTGGCACAGCCAGGTCTTAACATTTGGACATTTAACTCATTCAGAAATGATCTGTTAGCTTTTAGATGGTCAAGTTATTCACTATAGTTGGCATTAAAAGCAATAGCTATTAGTTTGACAGCTGCAATCTGTTGGGAAATAACAACAATCAAATATTTATTGCCTTAGATAGATATTTATATACATCCTTTTCCTGAGATTCAAAATATTTTACCAAAAATTCCTTATAAATTTCCTGCTTAATTATCTGCAGGTTTTTTTTTTTAAAGAAATACTATTCTGAATAGGGCAGGAAATATAAGGTTGCTTTTCTTGAGCAATGAATTG